CTGTAGTATTGTCAGTTATAAAAGGTGTAGTATTTTCAGGTATACCATGACTTTCTTTGTATGACTTTTGTGTGCTAGCAACTGTAGTTTGTTTTGGTAAAGTAGTTGTGTCAGTGAAATGTTTGACTGTACTCGTAAGTGTTTCAGATGTTGTTGAATAAAGTTCTTCTGTAGTATTACCAGTTATAAAAGGTGTGGTACTTTCAGGTATACCATGACTTTCTTTGTGGGACTTTTGTGTACTAGCAATTGTGGTTTGTTTTGGTAAAGTAGTTGTGTCAGTGAAATGCTTAACTATACTTGTAGGTGTTTCAGATGTTGTTGAATAAAGTTCTTCTGTAGTATTGTCAGTTATAAAAGGTGTAGTATTTTCAGGTATACCATGACTTTCTTTGTATGACTTTTGTGTGCTAGCAACTGTAGTTTGTTTTGGTAAAGTAGTTGTGTCAGTGAAATGTTTGACTGTACTCGTAAGTGTTTCAGATGTTGTTGAATAAAGTTCTTCTGTAGTATTACCAGTTATAAAAGGTGTGGTACTTTCAGGTATACCATGACTTTCTTTGTGGGACTTTTGTGTACTAGCAATTGTGGTTTGTTTTGGTAAAGTAGTTGTGTCAGTGAAATGCTTAACTATACTTGTAGGTGTTTCAGATGTTGTTGAATAAAGTTCTTCTGTAGTATTGTCAGTTATAAAAGGTGTAGTATTTTCAGGTATACCATGACTTTCTTTGTATGACTTTTGTGTGCTAGCAACTGTAGTTTGTTTTGGTAAAGTAGTTGTGTCAGTGAAATGTTTGACTGTACTCGTAAGTGTTTCAGATGTTGTTGAATAAAGTTCTTCTGTAGTATTACCAGTTATAAAAGGTGTGGTACTTTCAGGTATACCATGACTTTCTTTGTGGGACTTTTGTGTACTAGCAATTGTGGTTTGTTTTGGTAAAGTAGTTGTGTCAGTGAAATGCTTAACTATACTTGTAGGTGTTTCAGATGTTGTTGAATAAAGTTCTTCTGTAGTATTGTCAGTTATAAAAGGTGTAGTATTTTCAGGTATACCATGACTTTCTTTGTATGACTTTTGTGTGCTAGCAACTGTAGTTTGTTTTGGTAAAGTAGTTGTGTCAGTGAAATGTTTGACTGTACTCGTAAGTGTTTCAGATGTTGTTGAATAAAGTTCTTCTGTAGTATTACCAGTTATAAAAGGTGTGGTACTTTCAGGTATACCATGACTTTCTTTGTGGGACTTTTGTGTACTAGCAATTGTGGTTTGTTTTGGTAAAGTAGTTGTGTCAGTGAAATGCTTAACTATACTTGTAGGTGTTTCAGATGTTGTTGAATAAAGTTCTTCTGTAGTATTGTCAGTTATAAAAGGTGTAGTATTTTCAGGTATACCATGACTTTCTTTGTATGACTTTTGTGTGCTAGCAACTGTAGTTTGTTTTGGTAAAGTAGTTGTGTCAGTGAAATGTTTGACTGTACTCGTAAGTGTTTCAGATGTTGTTGAATAAAGTTCTTCTGTAGTATTACCAGTTATAAAAGGTGTGGTACTTTCAGGTATACCATGACTTTCTTTGTGGGACTTTTGTGTACTAGCAATTGTGGTTTGTTTTGGTAAAGTAGTTGTGTCAGTGAAATGCTTAACTATACTTGTAGGTGTTTCAGATGTTGTTGAATAAAGTTCTTCTGTAGTATTGTCAGTTATAAAAGGTGTAGTATTTTCAGGTATACCATGACTTTCTTTGTATGACTTTTGTGTGCTAGCAACTGTAGTTTGTTTTGGTAAAGTAGTTGTGTCAGTGAAATGTTTGACTGTACTCGTAAGTGTTTCAGATGTTGTTGAATAAAGTTCTTCTGTAGTATTACCAGTTATAAAAGGTGTGGTACTTTCAGGTATACCATGACTTTCTTTGTGGGACTTTTGTGTACTAGCAATTGTGGTTTGTTTTGGTAAAGTAGTTGTGTCAGTGAAATGCTTAACTATACTTGTAGGTGTTTCAGATGTTGTTGAATAAAGTTCTTCTGTAGTATTGTCAGTTATAAAAGGTGTAGTATTTTCAGGTATACCATGACTTTCTTTGTATGACTTTTGTGTGCTAGCAACTGTAGTTTGTTTTGGTAAAGTAGTTGTGTCAGTGAAATGTTTGACTGTACTCGTAAGTGTTTCAGATGTTGTTGAATAAAGTTCTTCTGTAGTATTACCAGTTATAAAAGGTGTGGTACTTTCAGGTATACCATGACTTTCTTTGTGGGACTTTTGTGTACTAGCAATTGTGGTTTGTTTTGGTAAAGTAGTTGTGTCAGTGAAATGCTTAACTATACTTGTAGGTGTTTCAGATGTTGTTGAATAAAGTTCTTCTGTAGTATTGTCAGTTATAAAAGGTGTAGTATTTTCAGGTATACCATGACTTTCTTTGTATGACTTTTGTGTGCTAGCAACTGTAGTTTGTTTTGGTAAAGTAGTTGTGTCAGTGAAATGTTTGACTGTACTCGTAAGTGTTTCAGATGTTGTTGAATAAAGTTCTTCTGTAGTATTACCAGTTATAAAAGGTGTGGTACTTTCAGGTATACCATGACTTTCTTTGTGGGACTTTTGTGTACTAGCAATTGTGGTTTGTTTTGGTAAAGTAGTTGTGTCAGTGAAATGCTTAACTATACTTGTAGGTGTTTCAGATGTTGTTGAATAAAGTTCTTCTGTAGTATTGTCAGTTATAAAAGGTGTAGTATTTTCAGGTATACCATGACTTTCTTTGTATGACTTTTGTGTGCTAGCAACTGTAGTTTGTTTTGGTAAAGTAGTTGTGTCAGTGAAATGTTTGACTGTACTCGTAAGTGTTTCAGATGTTGTTGAATAAAGTTCTTCTGTAGTATTACCAGTTATAAAAGGTGTGGTACTTTCAGGTATACCATGACTTTCTTTGTGGGACTTTTGTGTACTAGCAATTGTGGTTTGTTTTGGTAAAGTAGTTGTGTCAGTGAAATGCTTAACTATACTTGTAGGTGTTTCAGATGTTGTTGAATAAAGTTCTTCTGTAGTATTGTCAGTTATAAAAGGTGTAGTATTTTCAGGTATACCATGACTTTCTTTGTATGACTTTTGTGTGCTAGCAACTGTAGTTTGTTTTGGTAAAGTAGTTGTGTCAGTGAAATGTTTGACTGTACTCGTAAGTGTTTCAGATGTTGTTGAATAAAGTTCTTCTGTAGTATTACCAGTTATAAAAGGTGTGGTACTTTCAGGTATACCATGACTTTCTTTGTGGGACTTTTGTGTACTAGCAATTGTGGTTTGTTTTGGTAAAGTAGTTGTGTCAGTGAAATGCTTAACTATACTTGTAGGTGTTTCAGATGTTGTTGAATAAAGTTCTTCTGTAGTATTGTCAGTTATAAAAGGTGTAGTATTTTCAGGTATACCATGACTTTCTTTGTATGACTTTTGTGTGCTAGCAACTGTAGTTTGTTTTGGTAAAGTAGTTGTGTCAGTGAAATGTTTGACTGTACTCGTAAGTGTTTCAGATGTTGTTGAATAAAGTTCTTCTGTAGTATTACCAGTTATAAAAGGTGTGGTACTTTCAGGTATACCATGACTTTCTTTGTGGGACTTTTGTGTACTAGCAATTGTGGTTTGTTTTGGTAAAGTAGTTGTGTCAGTGAAATGCTTAACTATACTTGTAGGTGTTTCAGATGTTGTTGAATAAAGTTCTTCTGTAGTATTGTCAGTTATAAAAGGTGTAGTATTTTCAGGTATACCATGACTTTCTTTGTATGACTTTTGTGTGCTAGCAACTGTAGTTTGTTTTGGTAAAGTAGTTGTGTCAGTGAAATGTTTGACTGTACTCGTAAGTGTTTCAGATGTTGTTGAATAAAGTTCTTCTGTAGTATTACCAGTTATAAAAGGTGTGGTACTTTCAGGTATACCATGACTTTCTTTGTGGGACTTTTGTGTACTAGCAATTGTGGTTTGTTTTGGTAAAGTAGTTGTGTCAGTGAAATGCTTAACTATACTTGTAGGTGTTTCAGATGTTGTTGAATAAAGTTCTTCTGTAGTATTGTCAGTTATAAAAGGTGTAGTATTTTCAGGTATACCATGACTTTCTTTGTATGACTTTTGTGTGCTAGCAACTGTAGTTTGTTTTGGTAAAGTAGTTGTGTCAGTGAAATGTTTGACTGTACTCGTAAGTGTTTCAGATGTTGTTGAATAAAGTTCTTCTGTAGTATTACCAGTTATAAAAGGTGTGGTACTTTCAGGTATACCATGACTTTCTTTGTGGGACTTTTGTGTACTAGCAATTGTGGTTTGTTTTGGTAAAGTAGTTGTGTCAGTGAAATGCTTAACTATACTTGTAGGTGTTTCAGATGTTGTTGAATAAAGTTCTTCTGTNAATTATTTTTGTAACTATCTTAATAAAAAAGCTCCTTGCTTATATACCTCCAAAGTAAGCATTTCGACCGCAACATAAATAGTTATGTCCTCTACAATTCAAAAGAACTGTTTTTCACGTTTCATACGTTATACGAAAAAAAAAGAAAATCACTCGCAATTAGACACCCTGTATACGTTGCTTAGCTATTTCTCCAAATTTTCAACAAATACATGTCTACTACTACTACTCTGTAGGTATTATGTGGTGGAATGTGTTTAATTTCCTGAAAGTGTCCCGAAATAAAAGGCAGATTGGAACCTGAAGTGTACATTCCACATACTATAAATAAGTAAATTATATAAGTTTGACGTGTCTCTTTGTCTCTCTCTCTCTAGGTATATAATAAGATGCATCAAAATTATTTACATTAATTTCACAAAGTTACGAACAAGTCTACATACACACGGTTATAAAAACTAAAAGAAGTAAAAAAATAACGTGCACATCTGTACAAAGTGTCATTATATTATTATTATTATTATTTTGATTGTCTAACGGATACTGAATTAATGGTATTGAAAAGCATGTCTTGTATACAGCACATGAGTGTAGTATGTGTTAGTACTGTTACTGGGGAGTACTCACCCCTTCGGCACTCAACTTCTGGTTGACCGCTCATTCCTGGTGGACATCTACATACAAAGAAGGCGTGCTCTCGAATGCATTCTGCATTTTTACCGCACCCTTCAGTCCTACAATCAACTAAACCTCTTTCTTTTGAACCTAAACAAGGAGGAACGTGTTTTATGTAAATTCTAATGGGCTAAAGTATCGAATAAATCTAGCTTACATTCGATTGTTGGATCTCCAGATGGATACTGTGTCGGACAGTAGCATTCTGACGTGCCATTTGCAACTCTACATAACGCGTTTACTCCACACAATTTATCTCTACAAATGTTTATCAATTTTGCTTCGCAGATGCATCCTTTGTATGCATCACCGTAACATCCTGGAATACAAGTGCATTTTACTTCGCCCTTTTCGTCCTGACAAATGGCGTTACTTCCACATGATTTGCTTGAGCAAATGTTACTACTCGGTAACTTGCATTCGACATTTGCATTTCCTATGTAACCAGGTGGACAAGAACATTCGGGCTGTCTGTTTATTACTTTACATTGGGCGTTTAATCCACATGCAGACCGAAGAAGACATGGATTTTTACATTTTCCGTCTCTGTCACATTTCATGTCTGGCTCACAGTCAATGTCCTGTTTACATCTACTTCGTTTGCATTCGATGGTCGGCTCTCCTTGGAAGCCGTCCGGACATATGCAGATTTTCCTATGATTTGACATTTTACACAGCGCGTTTTTGCCACACGCTTGATCGTTGGAACAAGGATTTCGGCATTTATTCTCGACGCAAACTTCGCTATCAGAGCAATCCTTGTGCGAGTTGCAACCGGGTGTGCAGGCGCCCCGCAGACAAATTTGTCCGGGTGCGCACGAATTGGCGTTAGAACAATTCGTTCTGCATTCTCCCTGACGGCAAATTTCACCACATGAGCAGTCATTATTAGAATTGCAGTGCGTCACGCAGTATCCTGCCTCGTCACATTTGCAAGCGTCATTGCACCTGCTCATAGGTTTTATACAGGACACTAAAGGATTCCCAAGGAAATTGATTGGACAGACGCATTGAGCAGCATGATTTATTACGCGGCATTCTGCACACGCTCCGCATGTTACAGCTTCCTTGCAAGGATCTGAAATTTAAAAGTTGGTATACTTATATAATTTATTGTTTTGTCGCTTTAACTCACTTTGGCATTGGTTATTTAAACAAACTTCATCCGATGGACAAACTGTATCACTTCTACAACCCGATTTACAAAGGCGATTCTCACAAATTTGATCGTTTTCACAAGATATATCTGAATTACAAATGACTTTGCAAACCCCTTGGACACATTTTTCGGTTGCCAAACAGTTTTCGTTCCTGAAAAAATTAAATATGCGATTTTCGACTTGTAGAAAGTTAAACGGTGATCATAAATACCTGTCGCATTGCTTTTGGCAATAGCCATCGTTACATTTGAATCCTTTGTCGCAACTGTTAGTTGAAGAGCAAGGTAATAAGGGTCTCTTACAGAAATTTTCAGGACTTCCTACTAATGACGTTGGACACTTGCAAACTGTTTGATGATTTTCAACTGAACAGATGGCGTTTGTTCCACAGGCAGTTGGCGAATCGCAAATATCTGCACATTGATTATTTATACAGGCTGTTGTCGGAGGACACTCGGAATTTGTTCTACACCCTATCACACAAACCAGGTCTTGACAAATTTCACCAGTTCGACAGTTATCATCTTGTCTGCAAAGTGCCGTACAAATTCCTGTCTGCGGCTCACATCGTTCGTTGCTAAGACAATCCTGATCCTGAGCACAAACTGGCCTACAAACGTTGTCAATGCAAATGTTATTAGGTAGGCATTGCCTGTTTTCCGAACAGGAAGAAGGAGGCGTTCTAACACATGCTATATTGGCTGTTGGATTTGGAACTAGTCCAGATTTGCAAGAACAGCTTGCCCTGTGATTCAGTACAGAACAAATTGCATTTGGTCCGCACGGCGAAAGTAAACATGGATTGGTGCATTTGTTGTTTTGACATGACTCACTTGACGAGCAATCATCGTCAGTGTGGCATCCCACTTGACACGTGTTACTTATGCAAATGTGACCTAAGAAACAGTCGTGGTCTACGCGGCAAGTTAAGATGCAGTTTCCTCTGTGACATTTTTCGTTAAGAGCACAATCGTTATCAGCGGTACAAGCCGGAAGACAACCGCTCTCTTTACACTCTTGGTTGCTTTCGCAATCAATACTCGTTCGACATGGTTGAGGTACTACAAAAAGAAAATCATATAGTAAAACTTACCAGATGAGTTTTCAATAGATATGACTTACTTCTGAAGCATTCAGTTTCAGCGTTTCCAGTAAAATGTACAGGACATAAGCACTGTTTGATGTGATCAGATATGTGACATTCGGCATTCATACCGCAAGCCCCTTTTAAGTCGCATGTGTTAATGCATTGCTGCTGAACGCACTGTTCATTCAAAGCACACTCCGTATCCGATTGACAGGATGCTAAAAAGGAAAGAAAAAAATAGTCATTATCATTACCTTTTATATGATAATTGTGCTCTACAACTTACGTCTACAAGTGCCACTGTAGCAGTACGTATTTGAAGGACAGTCCGTTGTAGCTTTACACAGAATAGGCTTAGGACTACAACCGTGTACCAAATCGTTCGGATTTCCTTCATAACCCGAAGTACATGTGCAATAATCTTTGTGTTCGACTGCCACACATTCTGCGTTAGGACCACAAGCGTTTTCGTGGCAAACACTCTTGCACTTTGGCAAGCCATTATCTGTTGTACATTTGGCAGTAATAGGGCAATCTTTGTCTGTTAGACATTCTACAGCAGGTTTGCAACCGTCTTTGTATGGTTCACCTATCATTCCTTCAGGACAATAGCATTTAAAAGAGCCTCTAGAATTTTGACAGAGCGATTTAGGTCCACAGGGCGAATCTGCGCAAAAATCTATAAGATGACATTCCTTGTGCGGATCGCCAGTAAAACCTGGTTGACAATAACACATCTGCTGGTGTTGTTCTGCTGAGCACAAAGCGTTCCTGCCGCAAGGATTGTGGACAAGACACGATATTTTACACATGTTTTGGTCACAAAGTTTATCAGCCGAGCATTCTTCGTTAGATTCACATTCAATATGTCTACATCCTTGTTTATCGTCGTGGGGATTGCCCTTGTAACCTTTTTTACAATCGCACGTGGCCTCATGATTTACTGGCAGACACACTGCGTTTCTGCCACAAGAGACATCAGTACAAACCTGAATACATTCGGCTTGTCCTAAGTGATTTATCACACATTTTTCACTTTCGTCACAATCGTTGTTACTATAACATTTTTGTTCTAATTTGCACAGTCCATCTTGACAGAACTGTAGGTGAGGACAGGACGAATTAGCTCTGCATGTTGTTTGGCATATTCCTTCAATACACATTTGATCTTGGATGCATTCTCGAGATGTTGAACAGATACCAGAGCAGATTCCGTTTGCACATTTGACGCCACCTAAACATTGGCTATCGTGAGCACAGTACTGTATGGGGGTGCAACCCAGTTGGGGATTTCCTGTATACTCGGGAAGGCAAGTGCATGCTGCTACATGATTTTCGGGGAAGCAACTTGCTCTCTCACCGCAAACGCTACTCAGCGAACATGGATTGATACATTGATTGTCTATACAAGCTTTATCCGACGGACAATCTTCGCTATTGCTGCATTCTATTTCTATGCATTCAAGATTTGCATCTCCGATTGTCTTAGACGGACAGCTACAAACGGGCATATGTCTCAGAGGAGTACACAGGGCGTTCTTTCCACAAACTGATCGGCCGTCACAAGGATTTTTACATTTGCGATGCACGCAACTGGCTGTTGAAGGACAATCCGAATCGACAAAGCAGTCTCCCGGTTTGTGACAGCCAGTTGTGTATGGATCACCAACCAGGCCGTCAGGGCATACGCAAATGAAGCTTCCAGGATTATTTTTACATCTAGAAAAATCATAATAATAATAATGAAACTTAATTATTCTGTACAAGAATATCTCGTAACTTACATTGCGGTAGTGTGACAGGGACTGGTAGTACACTCATCGAAATCGACACATGTTTGCTCCCAGAATTTATAACCGGTAAAACAAGTACATAACGCTTGATGATCTTTTACTTGACAACTTCCTTTTCCGCAACGTAAAGCATCGCAAGGGTCTAAAATACAATTTATTTTTCACATATGAAACAAAATAATAATATTTAGAACTCACTTTTGCATTTGTTGATTTCTCCTTCGCAGAATTTATCTTCGGGGCAATCATTATCCGTCAGACATTCGACTTTGAAGCAGCCGACGTTTTTATCAAAGGCGTTTCCTAAATAACCCTGCTGACATGTGCATGTTGCCTTGTGATTTGTGACATCGCAATCGGCGTTTGATCCACATGGAGATAAAAGGCAAAGGTCTGTACATTGTCCGCTCACACAAGCCAGACTGTTGTCACACTCTGAATCACTTCTACATTGCTGCGTTAAAATGCAACCGTCTTCTACTCGGCCATTGACAACAGTGCCTTCCGGACAGGTACACTTATATGATCCAGGAGTGTTGATGCAAAATGCACTTGGATGACAAGGATGTTCTTGACATTCATCGACATCTAAGCAAGTGTCTCCTGAAGTCTTGAAACCTAAAGCGCATTTGCACTTTTGGTTCTCGCAAATTTGGTTTTCTCTACAACCATCGTTGTTGATGCATCCGAACCGGCAAACCCCTTTATGGCATAGCTCTCCCGAAAGGCAGTTGCTATCGCTGTAGCAAATTTTTGTGCAGACATTGTCAAAACATGTTTCCCCTACTGCACAAGCGTTGCCGTTTTGACATGGTAAACTACATCTGTTACCGATACACATGTGTCCAGAAGGGCATTCTTTAGTAGTTCTACAAGGGTACGATTTTCGTACGCATCCTTGCTGAGGTGCAGGGTTTCCTTCGAAACCCGGAGGACACTTGCAAATAGGCGAATGACGTTCACAGTTACAAAGAGCGTTTGGTCCGCATGTACTTTCGATATCACAAGGATTTTGACATTTATAATTCAAGCAGGCTTCTGACGACGGGCAATTTTTGTCACTTCGACATCCCAACACGCAAAATCCGGTTGCACAGACTTCTGTTTCTCGACATTGGGAATGTGTAGTACACGGTATTAGACATATGTTCTGTACACATTTTTCTCCAGAAGGACAATCGTTATTGTTTCGGCATACAGATTTACATTGGCCACCAACGCAGATTTCGTTGTTGCAATCGTCGTCGGTACTACAATCTGTACTTGCTCGGACACAGCCTCTAGGAAATCCTTCTTGGTTGGGTTCGAATTTTGCCGGACATGAGCACACTGGACGTTTATTGATTACTGTACATAACGAATTAATACCGCAAGAGTAGTTAAGACATGGATTTATACAACGTCCATTTCTGCATACGGCTTCCACTGGACAATCCAAGTCTCCCACGCAACTGCCTTCTTTAACGCATCCATTTGTGATAGGGTCGCCCACCATGTTTGGCGGACATTTGCAAATACGACCCGATAATGTTGCTTCGCAAATGGCTGACGGATGGCAAGGATTGATTTCGCATGTATTAATCGGTGAACATTGAATGTCTGCAATAGGATCCGGTCGAAAACCAGATGGACATTGACAAACAGCCTTGTGATTCTCGCCAATGCACACAGCGTTGTCTCCGCAAGATTCTTCGTCACACGCGTCGTAACAAGTGTGTGTCATTCGATTGCAAAGTTGCGCAGGTGGACAATCGATATTGTAAACGCATGGGACAGCTTGACATCCCTTAATTAAATCGTTTGGATTTCCAACAAATGCTCCTTCTGGACATTGACATTGTGCTATGTGATTCTTAACATTACAAATGGCTCGTGGACCACATTTAATGTTTTCGCAAGCGTGTTTGCAAGCAAGAATTCCATGCTCGCCAACTGTTTTGCATTGTTCGTGCTCCTTGCATTGTGCGTCAGACGTACATTCGTTCTGAACAATAGGCAGGCAACCGATGCGATCGTTTGGATTTCCGGTGTATCCGTTTAAACACTGACATTGACCGTCGTGGTTACTTGAAACGCAAATTGCATTGCTGGGACAAGTGAACATGGAACACGGGTTGATACATTTTGGTACTCCCAAATTATCGGGTAAACATTTTAATGTTTCCTGGCAGTCATTGTCGGAAGCACATTCTTGAACTGATGGTTTTTCACAGGTTGAAGTTACCGGATTCCATATAAAGTTGGGCTTACATTGACATATTGGATTCTTTAATTCGTTTAATGTACATTGTTCGTGAAGACCGCACGCCACATTGTTACATGGATTGAGACACTTCAGTATTCCCGTTGAACTTATTGTACATACATGGTCTTTGTCACAGTCGGAATCGCGGTTACATTCGTTTGTAATTATTTTCCCTTCCTGTTGACAGCCGAGGCTTAAATCTCCCGGATTACCGTGATAGCCAGGTCCACATATGCAAGAGGATTTGTGTTTGTTACTTATACATAAGGCGTTCGGACCGCACTGAAGTTTACTGCAAGCGTCTACGCATTTTCTTAGACCTTTAGCAAATTGGAAGCAAATTTCTGTGTTCTTGCAATCTTCGTTACTATTACATTGGCCAGTTGTGGCGCATCCATGAAGTAGGTCTTTCGGATCGCCGGTGTAACCGGGAGGGCAGAAACATTTTCCTTCTTCACACACTGCCCTTGGACCACACTGAACGTTCTCACACAAATTGATGCATTTTCTGTTCTTACACGAATATCCTTGTGGACATAAAATGTCACGATTACAAGGACATGAAAACGGATCTTGACATACTCCCACTTGTAATGGTGAGCACAGGGTGAAAGGATTTCCAGCATAACCTTCGATACATCGGCAGTCATAACTTCCTGGAGTGTCTATACAAACTGCATATTCGCCGCAGACATTTTTGGTGCATTCGTCTATATCGTGACATTCAATGTAAGGATTTCCGGTAAAGCCTGCAGGACAGAGGCATTCTATTTGACCATACGATTCTTGACATTGGGCGCCTTTTCCACAAATTTTCATTGCGCACGTTCTTTTCTGGACAGCGTTACATTCTTCATAGGGATTGCCACTCGTTCCGGAATTACATACGCACTGATTTGTAAAGCCGTATTCGCAGTGAGCGTTCTTTCCACAAGAAGGACTACAGCCGGGTGCCGTTATTGCTGTTTATTAAAAAGCAGTCAGTATTCGTACTTGATTTATTATTAAATAAAATAACTTACGTGGCATGCAGAGAATATTTGGATTTCCAATAAAATTGAGATTGCAAACGCATTTGTTGGAACCCTGATCACAATGAGCCCCCACTCCACATATCACGTCCTCGCACTTTTGTTTACATCGTCCACTTACGCAGACGCTCGGTTCTGGACATGGATTTTTAGGAGAGCAGATATCTGTTGTACATTTTCCTCCTGGAAATGGATTTCCTATACTTCCTTCTAAGCATTTACAAGTCGGTCCCGAGCTTGTCACTATACATTGAGCACCATCAGCGCAGAGTACTCTGTCACAAACTAAAACAAAACAATTCTGGTTAAAATTTAGAAAAATTTACTTTCAGAAATGCTGTACATACGTGATACGCATTTTCCTCTGCTGTTCTTTTTGAATCCATCTGCACATTGACAGTGTGCGGCATGTCCTTTGGCCTCGCAATAGGATTGAGGGCCACAGTCCTTTGAGTAGCAGGGATTCACGCAAGATCCGTCGGTACACTTTAGAACGTCGGCACAATCTCTATCGGTAGCACATTCAGTTTTAGGTTGTCCAGGAAGATCTAGGATACATCCTGACTTGTATGGATCTCCCGTCATCCCGTGTGGACATATACATTTATATCCTCCCCTTTCATTTAAACAGTGAGCTGCATATGCGCAAGGTTCATCGATACATTCATCGACATCGACGCATCCTCGTGAAGCATCTGCCTTGAATCCTGGCTTGCATACACATTTTGGAGGATCGGAGGGTATACAATCTGCATTCAAACCGCAAGGATATCGTTCGCAAGGGCTGTTACATGAATTGTCGTTTGGGTCTGTGAAAAACGGCACTGGACACACGCATTCTCCTGGTTGTATACATTTTTCATTAGGGGAACAGTCACTATCCAAGGAACATTGCTTCTGGGCAGGTGAACAGATCCCCTTGTAAGGATCACCGCTGTATCCTGTGGGGCAGATGCATTTGTACGATCCAATACTGTTGATACATTCTGCTCCATAACCACACGATTTGGTCTCTGTACATTCGTTAACGTCTTCACAGGAACCGTCTGATCTAGTTCGAAAACCTTTTGGGCATGCACAATAGCTCACCCCTCCAGTTATAGTTATACATTCGGCACCGTGCGGACATTTTTCGTCTTTAGAACAGCCAGCCAATACACAATTTCCATCTACCAATTTGTAAGGTGCTTGACAACGGCATTCGGGGCTGTTACATTCTGAAATAAATTTATTTTAGAATCTTAAATGTACGCGATGAAATCAAATAATAAGACATTACCATTGCATTCTAAAAATGGATTTCCATTAAAGCCGGGTGGACATTGGCAATCGTAACTACCAGGTAAATTTTTACAAATGGCATTAGGTCCACACGTGGGTCTGTTCAGCTCGGTACATTCGTCAACGTCTCGACATCTACCTGTTTTCTCATCTCTTACAAAACCTTGTACACAAATGCATACGCTCCCACCGAGTGCTCCATCTTTTATGCATTGTTCACCAGCTGGACATGGTTTCGCTGCAGAACAACTAAACGGGTGGATAATTTTACTGCATCCTGTTCTGTAGGCATCTCCCGAAGTTCCTCCAGGACATTGACAAGTAAAACCTCCTGGTTCATTTTTACATATCGCACCAATTTGGCAAGGATTATTTTCGCATTCGTTAATGTCCACGCAACCTCGTTCCGTTTCTTTGTATCCGGATTCACACATGCATTTCGCAATCTGATTTATTAGCATACACTTTTGGTTTGGTTCGCATGACAAAAATTCGCACGGATCTAAAATAAATTAAACATTACTTAGGTGTTTTCAATGGGCCGTTGTATAAGAGGAATAATTCTTACGACGACAATCGTTTCCTGTATTTGGCTCAGGACAGACGCACTTTTGGAATTCGCAAACTGCATTACCGGGACAATCTGCTTTTGATTTACATGTGACAATTTCATTGCACCTTGTAAAGGGGTCCGGATCTGGCACCGTTCCTTCAGGACATTCGCATTTAAACGAACCTGGAATATTTTTACATACTGCTCCTTGACCACATGTGTTGGGTCGAATACATTCGTTTATATCCTGACACTTGATCAACGGATTGCCTGAAAATCCTTGTCGACAGGTACATGAAAAACTGCCAGGTGTGTTGGTACATACACTGTTAGTCCCACATCTTCCATTTGGTCCAATGTTTTTATCGCATTCATCAATATCTGGTCATTGGATTAAACTTATTAGCAAATTCATCAGGAGGATTTTATTTACAAAATAACATACCGATACAACCGGCAGAAATGTCACTGGGATTGAACGTCCAACCATCCTCACACATACAATAAGCTTCTTGACCTTCCGGTTTACAATAAGCGTGATTTCCGCATTGAACATTATCGCAGGGTGCTTTGCATTGCATCCGTGGGGGAGCGCCTACATAGCCGTTTTCACATTCGCAGTGAAAGCTCCCTAAAGTGTTGGTACATATTGCAAACTTTCCACATGGTTCTGATTCACATTCATTAACATCTACGCATACAGCACCCTGCGGTGTAAAACCTTTTTGGCAAAAACATTGATGGTCTATACATTCAGCGTTATTGGTGCAATCGTAATTCGATTCGCAAAGGACACTAACATCTCTCTAGAAGAAGACAAATTTGTATGACTTAAACCGCTTCTAAACTGTAATAAGGGTAATGTTGTACCTGTTCACAAGCGATTTTTGGTGAAGGACTGGCTTGAAATCCTTGCGGACAAATACAATTATATCCTGGTTGAGCATTCTCACAAATTGCATGTGCTCCACATGGTTTCTCTAATGCCACACATTCGTCTATATCGGTACATTTTTTGAAAGGATCGCCAGTGTAATCCTCTTTACATGTACAAGTGTAACTTCCAACTGTGTCCCTACACACAGCGTTTTCTCCGCACGGATTTGATTCGCATTCATTTATATCTGAAGAAAATTTCAAGAAATGCGACATGTTCATCGGTAACCTATATCATTAACCGAAAGAAGAAAGACTGCAAGAAACAGAACAGTGCAGACAGACAGGCCAATCATTGAAGGACATAATTTCGTAAAACCTCTGAAAGTCAGATGAGATGATGCAAAAGAAAAATAACATAAACAAAAAAGAACCACCACGTCAATCTACAAAACGTATTAAAATAATAAATAATAAGTATAATTCACAGTAGTAAAAACGATACCAGAACCTGAAAACTACAGGGATCTAGAAATTAATAAACATATCTAATAAAGTCTACTTACTACAAGTATAAGGTATAAACGATACTGAAAACAGTAGTACCTATTAAAACTGAAAACTAAGAAGGTAATTTATATACTATAGGTATGCAGTTAAGAATACATAAGTAAGTTTGGATAC